AAAATGGATTTTGAAGAATGTAAGATAGTAACCCTTCACAGAGTATCATCGCCCTTCACATTTTTCTCTTTTGTTCTTCGTTATCATTGATTCAGTTTGATTTCAATTGCTAGTGTCCTTGATTCAATTGGTTCGGTCTAAGGAGGAACCGATTTGATCCGTTCCATTTACTTTGCACCAACCAAACAAATAAATGCTCATTGCAATGCAAATTGAATGTATAAAAGCATAAAAATATTTTGTTTGATCAACTGTTTTCATAACCTGAGTGTACAGATAGTTGGTTTCATAGAGCATCTGCCTATATATATCAGACTATCAATTCTGTCTATGAGCATTTTTCCCTTGCAGAACGGAAGAATTCATCAGATGCCGAAGTCGTATAAGCAGTATAGAATATATTTACTGCCTGCAAAAACAAATGTTCTGAAATGTAATGCCAGAAGTAACAGAATTGCTAACTCAAAAAAATATGTTTGCACTGGAAACAATTGTCATGGTCTAATATCAGATAGCTGGATGTTTAATTCATCAAGTACGCTATAAAACATTTCGAAGCATTCATCATGAGTTTGTTCAGCAGACGAGAGATGTAAACTTGGATACCTTCAATGAGTTTAAAGCATGCAGCATGATGGACGTTTAGGAAATTAATATTCTACGAGTTTCTTTAATAATCAAATATTATAGGGTCGGCGCAAGTTGGTCAAAACACACGGTTATTATTAGAAGAAAGAAAGAAAAAACGATTGCCCATATGAGATTAAAAGCTACAAAGAGGTCAGTAAATGATGACCTAAGCAATTCCTGAGATGCATATGATATTAGTACCTAGCGGGATTTCTTTTGACGTTTGCTAGGCTTCATTGTCTCCTTTCTTGAATCATCAGGTGCTTTTAATTCAATATATGGCTGCAAAACATATCAAGACACAACAACAAGTCAAAAAATTCAAATTAAATCGTTGAATTTTCTAATATGTAAAAAAATTTCTCAAATCCTGTATATTAATTACCATAGTAAAAATTGCGTTTATGTTCAATTCAAATATCTCAACCAGCCGTACAAATATGGATTCAACAGATAAAATATTTTATGTATGGCTAATTGCTACCTAAGGCCATGTTCCTTAATCTCTTATTATCCTAAGATATGACTACCAGAAATAAACTACCAACCAAAAACCAGATTAGTAGATTATACTCCATGTGACCTTGTGGAAAGGGAAACACAGTATATAATTGAATGTTATAAATCTGGAATCACATCAAAGTTTATAGTATATAAATATGCTCAAGTTACATTAAGAGAACATATTTTATTATGATCGGGTTTTCGATTGTGAAATTTGGCTGTCTTAGAAGGCAACTGAAAAGACCAAGCAATATGATAGAATAGGCTGAAAGAAAATTAAACAATTTCAAATTTTTGGAGTAAGTGGAAGGCAATGGAAAGAAAATTTCAAAACTAAATACCACAACTTGGAGAATGGGGGCTTAAACTCAAACTGCTAGTTATGGCAGCATAGAACATGACTGGGAAACAGTAGGAGTCCAATAAATATCGTTGCTCAAACTAAGAAAATGTCAGCAGTTTGAGTATTCAAACATCTTGGTAATATAACTGTCACAAGAAAAAACATCGAGACACAAGAAATATAAGGCCAAATTTCGTACCTCGTCCCATTTTCTTTGAAGCTCAAGAAGCTCTTGGCAGTATGCAAGACACTCGGCGTGATATGCAGCAGCTAGTTCTTTTATCAAGGCCTTCCGTTTAATGATGCCAATCACTTAAAAAAAAATGTTGATCAGTTTAATTTAGATCCATGGAACAGGAGAATTTTAAGAAGCAACACATATTAAAACATTTATAACAATATCTTGCTCTACCATTCCCATTAGGAATGGATCAACCTTACTTCATCATTATCTTATACAAAGTTTTGTGGAAACTATAATGGCTTAATTCTGTATAGCTCCAGAAAGTGACAAGTCCAGAGATTGAAAAATACTTTCACAACCTAGATATCCAAGTGCAGTAATTGGAGTTTGTCGTGGGAAGCCAATTAATGTAATAAACCAACGAAACAGGAACAAGGTTCTTGAAAGTACGAAACCCGTTAGTCGGGAGTTACGATCGGAACCACTAAGCCGTACTAAATCCAATACCAGAGAAACCCAACAAAAAGAAACCGCTAAGAATCAAGAAATCAAGATGGAAAAA